GGCAACTAGTTTCATAAAACTTTTCTTGAATATGATTGCCAAGTTTCAGAATCTGTATTTTTGTGCAGAAATGTTTGAACACACTGAAGTAGTATTCTGCATAAGAAAATGTAATTTTAAAATGTTAAAGTATAATAATATAACACCAATAATATCTTGTTCTTGCTTCTTAGGTCACACATCAGTTTATAGTTGTGATTTTATTAATACTTGCAGGTTTTCAAATGTCTCATTATAGTGAATGCTTAAGAGATACCTTTTTATAGGTTTATGTTAAAATTACATCTTCTTGGGCCCCCTGGTAGCTCACCTGGTAACACTTGCGCTCTATGTAGAAAGGTCACAGGTTTGATTCCAACCTGCAGCCCTTTGCTGCATGTCACCCCCCTCTCTCTCCCCACTCTTGTGTCACTCTGCAGCTATCACTATCACATTAAGGCAATAAAAGCCCTAGAAAATAATCTTACAAAACAAAACAAATTGCATCTTAAGCAGCACATTTCAGTCTACTTCTAAGTACATTTGCATGAGATACAGTCCCATGATATTGTGGCTTCTATAACTTATCTCAACATTAAACATAATTGAAACCCAATTCTCAATATTACACTTCCAGTATTAAAGATTTAAAACATTCCCTGCATTTTTAATTTGTCAATTTTACTTGGTGTATGAACTTCAAAACCATAAATTGCGTAATAATACAGTGTGTGCTGATTCAAAAGCACAACCCACAAAAACCCTCCTAGCTACTGATAAGGGGTTATAACACTATACTTGAACAGTTTGTTATCAAGCTCTTGTCAAAGGAGCATTGGACTACAGTCTCTGTCCGCTGTATAGGCATGATGTTGCACACATACAGTTACGCTTTATATTCTTGGAACTGGTTATCTTTTTTGGATAGAAATATCCTTATCATGAGATACTTGAACCTATACCAAAGGTATAGTTAAATAATCTTGAGGTATAGCTCTTCCAGAGATGTAAATAATATACAAAACATCACACAAATCTTACATTAGCATAGGCATTTGAGACATTTTGCATTCTAAAAAAGGCAATCAGTTATTTATTTATTTTTGATTGATGGGGTCCTGCATGAACACAGCCTTTTCTGCTAGTTTGGACAATTCTTAGATCTTTCTTACTGTTTTTAAGTGGGTTGGGGCTGAGTTGGAAAAAGGTGATGCCATGTGCACCAATCAACACTGAACAAATGTATGTGCTGACAGTTGTTTGCTGTCAGTCAGATTTGTTAAGGTCTAAACAGCACTGAGCAGATTAGCTCACATTTTAAAACTCTAAGGTCTAAAATATTTTACTTTTATATACATTTTGGAGAGGTAAGGTGTGGTACAGTTTATTTTTTTGGTTAGTTTGTTTTTTATTTGTTTATGTAGTAGGGGTAAAACATTAATGTGATGTGTTTCTGTTGTTTTCAAGGGTATGTATGTGTATGTCACTGTTCCGGGTCCAGCTGGGTCAGTGACCTGTGTTCACTTCTTTATGAAAATACATGTTTTTGTTCATTTATGGCACACCATAAAAGGCAATTGTATTTGCCATCTATACAAGTTTTGTAAAAAATTGATTGAACTAAAATGATCCAAGTTGAATTTTTGTGAAATATATGTATATATATGATATAAGAATCAACAAACTCACATAAATCACATTCCTTCAACTTAGTTTCAGTCCATATTTTTCCCCTGGTCATCCAACCTGCAGTCGCTCTGTGCCCCACCATATGAGCCTATATTGGTTTGACAAATGACAACCACTAGATGGCAATGACAACAATGATCAGTGGTCTTTCCTTGCTCTATCCTGGAAGGGCAACATACTTTAAAGCTTCCCTGTGAAGTTTTCTTGTTAACAACCAAAATTTATGTTTATATTGAGTGTTTCTCACCAAAATGTTTTGTGTTCATCCTTGATGTCTAACAAACGTGTCAAGTGCATTTCCTTCCAAACAGAATATTTGCGAAGCAGATTTTTTGTCACAATTCTGAGGCTGAACCCAAAAGCAGACTGAGCCTGTAAGTAGTGAACACAAAGTCTTTATTTCTTTGGTGCGAAGATGGGTGATCTGGAAGCTGGCTGAAGTCTTGGGTTTGGGTCCAGGGTTGAAGGTGGTAGAGGTGTGGAGAGCTGGCGAATCTGGTGGCAGAGGAAACCGTTATAAGAAGTTGGTAGCAGCCTGGCAAACAAAAGACTACACTGGCAACAAGTTCAAAGGAGCTAAAGCAAGGCACACAACATACTGTGTGTGATGCAACGATCCGGCAGGGACTGGATGTCAGCCAGGCTTCTTATAGTGGTGAGGTGCAGTCTTGATTGAAGGCAGGTGTGCTTGATTGTTGGTGTCCAGCACGTGAGTGGAGACCGAGAGAGAGAGGGCAAGGGGGCTCTCTGCATGAAGGGCCAGAGTCGCCTCCACCTGCTGAGGAGACTGAGGTCCTTTCGGAGTGTCGCAGGGCTTCCTCAGACTTTTTATGACTCTGGGCGGCTTCAGCCATTTCTTATTCTGTGGTCTTCTGGCAGAGCGGTAGTACAGACAAGGGACAGGACAAAAACCAATAACTGATCAGGAGAGCGAGCTCTGTCCTGGACTGTCCTCTGGACTCCATTAGAGGAAGTGGGTGAGAAGAGGATGTTAGTTAAGCTGACATCCATCATGGACAACACCTCTCACCCCCTACATGACACTGTGGGGTCCCTGAGTAGCTCCTTCAGCAGCAGACTGTTACACCCTCGGTGTAAGAAGGAGAGGTTCCACAGGTCTTATTACCACCATACCATAGCTTTTATATCTGTATTTGTTTTTTTCACTCAAATGCTGCTGTGATAAGTGAATTTCCTCGTTGTGGGATTAAAATAGTAATCGTAATAGTAATCTATAACTATATATATAACATAACAAGCAGACAGACAAACTCAACAAGCACACCTAACTCACACCAAGGTAGAAAACAAAACCACACAATTACACAATCACAGGGCAGGAGTCATGACATTTTTAGTAGTATTTTGAATCCACCATTTTTTACATCCATTTTTTCTTGAGCATTAAGAGGCAGCTTGACTGGTGAGATCATGAAATCATAAGATCATGTAAGAATCCATCTAGGCTTCAATCTATGTGTTTGTGGCCAAACTACATGGTACCAGACCAATATGTGTCTGTTGGGTCTCTGTTAATAATTACATAAGGAGTACAGTCTATACCTACTCTATTGGAAAATGTCCTGAGATAACCCTTGTTATGAATTAGTGCTATACAAATAAAATTGAATTGAATTGAATTGATGGTCAATGTTGGACAGTAACTCATTACTAGTTATAAGTAATGTAATGTAATAACATTACTTTCATTACTTTAATTAACATTACTCTCCCAAGTAACTAGTAGTGTAACTAATTACTAATTACCCCACCAAAAGATAATTACCCACAACTTCATTTTTGTAGGAGGAAGCTAGCTTGGAAGATAGAAACGTTTACATTCAGCGGCTGGAATTATTACTATTACTTTGATTCAAAACAACAACAACTGGATTTTAATCGTAAGTCTGAATTTTGGTTAGAAAGGCCACAATTGCCAATTTTGCAGGGAGTACCAGAAAAGTAATATAACTAGTAGTGTAATTACTGTTGGCAGGAAGTAATAAGTAAGGTAACAGTTACTTTTGAAAAGGTGTCCTGAGATAACTTTTGCTATGAATTGGCGCTATACAAATAAAACTGGATTGAACTGAAATTGCATTGTGAGGAAAAACTGGGGTTGGCACATATAAGTTAGCAGTTGCTGCTAACATTAATTATATTGGAAATGAAGAGTATTTCTTCTTGGAAAGAAGAGCAGAGAATGGCATTAACTCTCGATAGAAAAGATGTTTTTTCTCGCCTGGCTTTGGTAAGTTTAACTACGTTATATGGTTTGTTGATCTGATTGGTTGAAACGGGTCTGTGATGGATGGTGATAGATAGATGGTTCATCCAGGTAGTATTTTTTCAAAGTGCCTGCCCTTTCCAAACGGTTTTCAACAACAACTTCCCAGATGGTTCTTTGTAACAAACCATCTGCCGCAGTCAGGTTACTTGAGCATTGCTGCATATCTTGGCATGTTACCACCTCCTGTAGATCATACTGTGACACCATTGGTAGGACTGCATATTGCGTGAACGGGTGGTGCACGAGTGTCCTTGTTTACATGCACAAGATCAACAAAAGGAGGACCCGCTCATAGAAAAATATTTCATGTATTTCAGAAGCATTTTTGTTATATTTGTTGGCATTTTCATTATATCCCGATTAATAATCATAATCAATAAAGCAAAAGCTCTGTTTTTAGACTACTTTATGCAGCAGACTCAGGTATTTAATAAACCCACAGCTGACCTGTTTGTCCACGTACCGGCCTGCCTTCCTCCATGCACTCTGCCCCTGCACACATTGCACATGACCGAAGTCTTCCACAAGCCAGCCAGGCAGATATTGCTAAAGATTACAAGCTAGTTGCACAAGAATGGCAGAGAAAGACTAGTCAAAATGTAGAGTTCCACCTGTACGTACAATAGTTTGCACTTCTAAATGTAACATTGGACAGACAACCAAAACAGAAAAATAAATTCTTAATAACTAAAAATATGAGATTCAATAAGGTGGTTGTATATGTCAGTTCCATCTACAGTGATGGAGGCAGACTGAAAGGACACTCATCAACCCCTATTTCTGGTTCTATATAATGATGCCGATCGTAAAACAATACAGTATTCTTATTTTATGGTCCTTTATGGCAGGGCAGGGGTTGCTCTCATCTATGCTCTCTCGTGGACTCGTTCTCCAGCAGTGGTCAGGCAGTGTGTGTTCATGTGTGTTGGGGGAGTGGCTTTAGAGGGAGACTCAGTTTGATATTTTCAAAATTTATGCAATAAAAATGCAAAAACAAAAAACCTATCATGAAGCAGGAAATCAGACATTTGCAGCTTGCATTAATGTATTTTATTGATGCTTTTCAGTCTTTACAGGAAGAAAAGTCTTAGTAAAACTTTACATTTTCAAGGTTTGTACACAGTAAACCATCTAAATTTAAATGAAACAACAGGTGTTTTTGTTAAAGGCACTGTTATAAATATGGTTAAAGAACTAATTGTACATACTTCTTCCAAGCATGTGTTTTGCATAGATGGTAGTGTTTCATATGGACTTGTGAGGATTTGTTACTGTTGGAAGGGGAATGGAAGTTCAACCTCAAACCTTCCGTCACTAACTCTCATGTAGGCTTGAGCCTCTGCTGAAGCCTGCTGCAGGATACCATTAACAGTGTTATTGTATTGGTCCACTACATAAACAAACATGTCTATAATGTATTCAAATGCATTGACGAGGTGCTCCGAACTTAAAGCAGAGATCTGGTCAACAACATTCTTTACAACTGTGATAAGGTTACGATAGACAACATTGATGTTGACAAACACTGCATCCAAATAGTCAGACCTGACAGAGTCGACAAACTCCTGAGATTTCTCAACAACAGCCTTCAGGGTCTCACCAATCTTCACTAGCATTGTGTCAAGACTCTCCATATTTTTCACAAAGTCTACCAGTTCATCAAATACCTGCTTGAAAGCTGTTTTGACCTGATCCAAGATCTGGTTTCCTGTGATTGCATCACCAACTGGCATGCGCAATTTCACACTGCTGATCATCTCAACAAAGTAGTTATAGTAGACCTCAGTGTTCTCATAGATATTCTGGAGGATCATTTCTAGCGTAGCAGCAATGCTGCTGGTCAGCCTCTTTAGGACCTCAGGGAGAGTTGTCATGTCTTCAGACCCAGGCAGTTTGAACTGGGTCTCCCTCAAGACCTGGATGGCAGCATCCAGGAAGACCTGGACAGTCTTCTGGTACTGGACAATGATGTTCCTGAAGAAGACTGACAGCTGGCTCATTTGAACATCGTAGTTGATTGCAGCATTATAGGCCTCATTGATGCGGTTAACAATTGAGTCCTTCAACGCCTCAATGTTGCTTGTGATCTGATACTTGTTAGCAAACATATTCAATGTATTGATGACGGAAGGGAGTTTCATCTTGAGTTCGGAGAGAATTACTTTGGGTATCTCCATGTTGTAGGCAATCTGCAGGTTCATCTTATCAGCATCCTTAGAAGATGCCCTGATGACCAACATGTCAAGTTCGACCTCTGGGGCAGACTGTCGAATAGAAAAAAATAAAATATTGTTTTAGCTATATTTGGATTTTGGTATATACTTTTCAATCATATCAAAAAGGTAAAGTTATTGATACTCACAGGATAACGACCAAAGACTCTTGCACTCATCTGAGATGGGACTCTGCCATTTAACTGAAGGCCGAGGAAGCCAGTTGAGGGGGTAGATACTGAGGCACTGATGCCATCTCTGCCAGCAGCATAACGAAGGTTGACATCGGTGAAAGTAGGACTGGTGATGTCCACATTCAGAGTATGGCGAGAGGTACTGAAAGAGAATGAAAGCAATTCAAATAAAAAATCACAATTGATTCTTGACCTGATATTTATTCAGAGGGAATCTAATTAAGATTGAATATTTACCTGTCATCAGCCTGACGCTTGCTCCTAAAATTTCAAGAAGAATTCATTAGAGTTAGAGTTAACTACTTTAAACATTGAATATTTAAGTAATTATTTAAAATATATAGTAAAACAAACTTAGAATGTTACCTCAGGGCTTGGGTAATGACATGGTTGACATCCATGGTAAGGTCAGCGTGTGTCAGGACAGCCTTGCTAATCATTTTCAGAGCTTCATTTTCAAAGTTTGTGTTCGTCAAAGCTAAAAAATAAATTTTGATTTAGTTAAGATTTAGTGTTCAACAATGCTTACATAAAACAGATAAACATGTTCAGGGAATTTCATCAACTCACCATCCAGGTCATACTCCAGGAAGACGAAGGTAGAGGTGGCAGAAGACTTAAAGGTGACTATGAAGACAGGAGCATTGCCCTCTGCTTCAACTGCCATGTTTGTGGTGTACAGTGGGCTGACAAACTTGACATTGGTTGACATCTTCTGCTTATCAGCAGTCACTTCAGCAACAGTTTTCTCAAAGATGGTGAACTCACCCAGGCTGCTTGGCTGAGAAATATCAATCTCAATATCAGCAGTCAAGGAAGAAGCTGGTGCAAGATCAATCGTAGCCTGGGCAATATGCTTCCCATTGGTGTTAAAGTTGAACAAGTTTGCCTCGTTGTTGCCAGTATACTTTAGCACTGCATACACACGGCCCAGGGAGGCTTCAACAGAGAGATTCTCATTTACATCCATGCCAATTACTTTTGTGGTGCCAGAGTTAAGCTTGGCATCGGCAATAACCTTGAAGGTGGAGCGTAGGCCATCATTATTCAGGTACAGATTAACTTCATTATCCAGAACTCCCAAAACTAAATAGTCTTCAAGCACTGTGCCATCCATGTTTGCCCTAGTGGCTGCCTCCATGGAAACATACTCAAAGGTTCCTTCCAACTTCAGAGTATGGTCTACCTCAGCCTTTCCAACAGCCTTGATTACAGGGACGTTGAAATCACCCTTCATCCTCAAGGTGGAGACAGCATTTGGTTTGGTTTTGGTGTCTGCAATCAGATTTTGGTTGGCTTCCAGATTCAGTATAGGCAGGGCAATTTTTGCAACAGTGGCCACAGAGACGGCAGTGTCAAAAGTCTCAGTACTCATACTGATGGTGCTGTCATGAGTGCCTTCCATGTGACGATTTTCAAGGGACAGGGAATTGGCCAACTTTATTCCTCTCTTGGTGGTCAGACTGGTGGTGCCATCAAGTTTGGCTTTTAGACCTTCAAACACAGAGGCTGTGATAGCTCCCAGACGGAAGACAAGATCATCCTCAGCATACAGTCCAGCATTAACATTTAGATTAATGATGGCAGACTTGAAGGACAGCTCTGTGATCAGGTTACCTACAGGGGGAATCTGGATCAGACCCATCATATCAACAAGGGGGGCCGCCTGGCTTTTCTTGTACACAACCTTAGCATCCACATCAACACTCTGCTCAGTGGTAGTCAAAATGTTATTCAATCCAGTCTGCTCGTACAAGTTTAGATCAATGATAGCTGGAGTACGGAAGTCAACAAAAGGAAGGTCAATTTCAGGAATGCTGATTGGAGATGTCAAGAAGTCAAGGTTGGCTTCACTTTCCATGGCAACAAAGATGCCAGCCTCATTTCCGTTATTGTCAACCGTGAAATTGTAGAACATTTTGTACTGATTAAGACGAGCCAGAGCCACGGTGTTAATCTGTTGGCTGTCAGGTTTAAAGATGACTGAGTAATCGTTCTGCAGATCTACCTTAGCAGTCAGAGTGTTAAAAATGTTGACCTTGGTATTTCCCTTGTTTTGGAATTCAAAGACAAACTCAACAGGACGGGCCACAATGTTGATTACATTGGACAGGACTCCACTGACTTCACCAGACAGTTCTGTGTCATGGTTTGCTTTCAGCTCAACCTTCATATCATAAAGACTGGCATGTCCAGATGCCACAAAAAGACTGTTCTTAATAACTGGTGCCTCTGCCTCATTGCGGATGTTGAACTTGAAGTAGGTAAAGGTGCCAGATTCAGCAGTAATTTGCTGTTTCAGTTTTAAGATAGAAGAGTCTGTGTCACCTGAAAAAGTTAGAGTGGCAATGCTAGGAGTGAGTGACAATTGCATGTTGCTTTTGTGGTTGCCATCTTCTGCATTCAATTTGCCATTGCCTGAATTGTCAACTGTCAGAGTGAAGGTGTAGCCATCTTGACGAGCAATTGCTTTCTGGGATACAGTGGCCTCGCTTCTGAATTCGATAATTGGGAGGTTCACTAAATGAGTGTAAGTTGTGTCGAGAGAGGCAGACATTCCTTCTTCCATAGCAATAAAGGCTGTGTTCATAAGGTCAGCAGTGTAAGGTGAAGTGGTAACCTTAATTGTAGTTTTGGCTTGGGCCTGAGCTGATAGGCCATAGAGAGTTACAGATGCCTGATGTTCAAATCCAAGAACTTGATGGTTCAACTTAAGAGTCTCTGCAAAGACAACACGACTCATTTTTGGAATTGCAAGACGAGCAGTAGAGTCAAGTTTGTAATTAAGAATTTCAAAACTTGGAGATATGGCCTGGGATGTAAGGGATCCAGTGAATGTAGGTGTCATTTCGCTTTCAGTGGAGTTCTGGAACTCAGCAGTTGTCTTGACAGTGTAGATGGGAGTCTGGAATCTCATCTCACCATAGAGTTTACCAAAGCATGGGACCATGATCTCACTTGGAATGGTTGGCAGCTGGATCTCAGGAAGCTGAAGAGACTTCACAAGCTTTTCTGTAGAAACTTGTGGAATGGTAGGGAATGAGATATCAGGAAGAGTGATCTCTGGGAAGATTATCTCAGGCATGGTAGGAAGGTAATTCATTGCCAGGTCTCCAAAGAAAGCATCCACATCAACCATCTTGATCTCAAAGTTTACAATGAAATCAATAAGTTCAATAATTCTCTGCTTGATGTCATCATAGGAAATTGTGGTGGCTTTCACAGTGTAGAAGCCCAAGATGGTGAACTCAGGGATATCCAGCTGTGTTGGGATTTCAAACTGTCCAAGCGTATCCATGCTGAACTTCATTGAGGGCACAACGAAATCAGTGAAAGGAATAATGAAAGATGGCATGTTCAACTCAGCTTTCTTAAGTTCAGTAATGAGTCCATTAATGATTTGCTGAATCTCGCTGATTATCTCTTGCTCAGGTAAGACGTTTTTAATCATCTCAACCATATTGTTGAACATATCAGTGGTGATGGTCATGACTCTTGTGTAGAATTTGCTCACTAAGTCAAGATAAGATGTAATCTCAGCTCTGACATCAATATTTGTTATTCCCTGCTTTACATATTCAGCAAATCCCCTAAGGTTATCAAACACAACCTGGTCGATGATTTCCTTTACAGATTTAATCATCTCTGCAACTTTGATTTCTCTAAGGCGTTCCATAAAGCCACTACCAGAGGATAGGACAAGGTTGACAAAATCTCTTGTTGCATCAAGTTTCTGGGGGATTTCAAGAGACCTGATCAGCTCATTCGTGTAAGCTGTGTACTCAGCAATAAGTTGGTTGGCATAATCCACAAACTCATTGTAGTCCAATGACTTTAGCTTAATCACAATAGTGTCAATATAGATATTCAGCTCTTGAATTATATCCTTTACCTCCGTTGTTTTCAAGTAGTTGATGGAACCCTGGAAGACTTGCATGAATTTGGTAGGAATGTCTGCGTCCTTCACCATATTGGCAACAGCACTGATGGTTTCCTCAATTCTAAATTGCTTGATGAGCTCCACAACCTTTTCCAAGATGGCTTGAACCTTTTTGTCAGCCTCAAACTTCACAATCAACTCTCTCATTTTGGCATAGAATGCATTGATCTTTCCTACGATGTCAAGGTCCTGAATCATTTTCCTAACATACTCTGTTATATCGCTGAAAATCTGTGTGGGAATCTGATTCACTACTACATCAATGTAAGCTTTAAAGTTGATGGATGTGATAAAGCTCTTCAGTTCAGCAACAAATGTCTGCATGTCAAAGGTCTCAATTGTTTGTTTCACATCACTCATAACTGTTTGTAGTTTAGCCATGATTTCATACTTAGCATCAATATCATACAGGAATGCAATGCTGCTGCCCTTCAGTTTTTCCAGGTCAATCTGCTGGATCATCTCCCTTATGGTATCAATCATATACATAACCACAGCCTTGATATCATACTCCTCATTAATGGCATTCAGCAGTTGCTGGATCTTCTGAATGAAGGCTTCAGGCATGGTGCCACTAACAATAATCTCCTTCATCGTACCAGCAAATTGTTGGATGTAAACTGTAAGATCAGCCATCAGTTTCTCAACATTAACCTTCAGGTTTCTCAAAGAGGCTTCCACATCCTCCATAGAGATGACATATTCTTGGGTAAAATCACTGAAATACTGCTTCAGCTGAATTAGTTTGTCTTCTATATTCAGTTGAGAAATAAAGTCACTTACATACTGGGGAAGAGCCTCAAGTTTAGCTCTGATCTCCTCATTGTTGAGGTAATCTTGCATTGCCTCTGCAATACGCACAACAAAGCCCTTGACGCTTTCCAAGAAGGCAGGTAGATTTTCAATTAGTGGGAACTGAATTATACGACTATCTGTGTTCTTGTCATACTTGACGAACCCAGAGATGGCAAATTCCTGGTTGTCTGTGGAGTCTGTGTTGAGGATGTTTGTGAGGATGGTGCCAGAAACCTCAATTCCAGTTCTCTCAGCAGTGTTGTAAACATTCATGTCCTGATTAAAGGCATGCTCATTCACTTTAGACTTCATTCTAAAACTGGTCTTCTGCTCTTGGAGTGACAGAACATTATCCATCTTGTTATCAAATGTGGTCTCAAGGGAAAACCCGTTATCTAGCTGCTGGGTTACTGATGCTCTGCATTCATGTGAGCTAGCAAAAGCCAGGGGTTGTGCTCTAAGGAGGAATTTGCCATAGAGCTGGGCACTGTGCTTTCCATACATGGTCAGGTCTCCATCGGCATTGAAAATGGCATCAAGGTTGAAATCAAAAGGCACAATACTGCAACGGATGGTGTGGTCAAAGCGCATTGGCTGAGAGTTGAAGCGGGCATCATTGGTGAGTCTAGCAGCAAGACCGACAACTTCAAGCTCTGTGTTGTGGCTCATGTGAGTGCCAAAGACTTTTCCAGTGGTGCTGCACTTTGCATTAGCAGTCATATCAGCATAATTCACCTGATATGTGTGCTTGATCTCTTCCTCACCATAGATGGCTTTCAGGCTTCCAGTCAGGTCCATCTTGTACAGCTCTGCCTGCAGCTGAGCCTCATTAATGAAGTTGGCCGACAGAACATTGAAGTTGTTGTTAACATTTGCAGAGGCAGTGTAGGGCTTCAGGTCGATGGTGATATCATGAGTGTAGGAAGCATACTCACTTGCAGTGGCTTCAGTCTTTGAGGTGAAATCAAAGCTAGAGAGAGTAATGGTCAAAGTGTTGGCATTATCAACCTTGATGTCACGCATCGCAGCCTTGTTAGTGAAGGATAGAGTAGCTCTTGAAGCATCAAACCCAGCATCGAAGGTGTTTTCCAAGGCAAGGGGGCTCTGGAGGGTGTTTGTTCCACTTGTGGTCATACCATCCTTGTTCATTTTCAGTGTAGCTTTGTGAATAGCCTCATTCTCAAGGAGCTTCACAGTGGCATCACTGTTTACAGCCAGACCATTAACATCAAGAGAGGCAGTCAGCAGAGAGTAAACACGGTTTTCAGAGTGATCTGCATTTGTCTCCATTCTCATGACAACTTCACCAGCACCAGCAGAGGCTTCAGCCTGGTTGCGGATCTTCATACCAAGAGCAAGGGCATTTGCATCACATTTCAGTGACAGCTTGCTGTCTTTGAAGGAAAGCTCAGCAACATGGGTCAAGATGTCTTCAAATGCGTTGGTGTTAGACACAACAGAGAATTCCCCATTGGCAAGGGTTGCTGCAATCGTGTTCTGGGCCTGAATAATGGTTGAGTCAATCTGAACAGAAGAATCAATCTTCGCCTCTGGCCTGAATGGGAAGATGCTGAATGACTGGGTCGAAATGGTCTTGCCATACATG